TCATCGTCATCGTCATCGTCATCGTCATCGTCATCGTCATCATCATCATCATCATTGTCATCCATAATAGTGTTAAAATAATTCCATTATACTTACTCCGTCTTCACATCAAAATCAAATTTCGGCAATATCATTTTCAATCATACCTCTGCACATATTCGACAAGTTTTGTGATACTAGGCACGTCAAACGTCAAATCCTTGAGTGGATCCAACCAGTTGCGCAACTCTGTCAATGGTGAATCTGCTTCAGCTATAAAACAACAATGGGAAAAACTAGTAAATGAAGAAATGGAAGAATGAGAGAGTAAATGAATGAGAAATGAAGAAATGGGTTCGTGGAATAGGACACAGCAATCAAAAATCTATTAAAAATTGATGTAAAACAGCTCAACTAGACTGACTTACTCTTCTCTGTGATGGTCAACAGTTGACTGCCAAGTTTGGACAACATTTGCACATTATCTGAACCTTGAACAGAACAACAACAAGCGCAAAATTATTATTTTGGAATACAGTTTTATAGCATCGCATTTTAGACTTTAAAATGTATTTGCTTACATTTTATGGTGAGAAGAATCAAAACTGATGCATAACGACTTGAAACACACTTCTTTAGCTTTACATCCTCAGAAGGATCTCCTAGGAAGACAAACATTATATTATTATATATATTATTCCGTGTGTAAGTAGATGCCGAGAATGTGATAATATTATAGCTAAAGTCAAAGCTACTTTATACGTACCAGTTGGTTTGACAAATGGTAGCAACGAAGAAAGATTATTGTCCATACTCATTACTTGAACAACGGCTGCTTTTCCTACAAATTAAACCATCGAAAGCTAGCTTCAGACACCCTGTGCTATCCCACAAGGCCTCACGGCCAGCCAGCTCACACGGTCACCATCTTGGCATTTTTTATCATTTCATACCAAACTCTCCTTGAACTCTGGTAAAAGTTTTCTCGAGATTTTTTAAATGAACCTTTACTTAAATTGATATTAAAGGAATYACAAACCTATCATGGTGAATGTCATGGAGTAYAGCGTGTGTAATGTTGACAGAGTGTCAGCGCCATCCAAGTCTGTTGCGCTGATTCCTAAAATATACAAAAAYKATTTCAAAATGCTGACATTYACKTTAGATGSAATARCYGTTCATCTTACCATTGGACAACGAAGTCACAAGTTGATCTACAGCTTGAAGCGTCTGTGAAGATGAAAACAAAACMACGAATAAAATACATTAATAAAACAGTTTTATGTAGCTTTGACAGGACATAAAGAAGTAGAAGAATGGTGGGAACTAGCGGTAAACTAGTGTGAGCTGCGTCGGTGTTTCTAAAGAAACAGTTATGTAAAAASATAAATTTAACACCGTAAAAAAGTATGTGAAATAGCTTACTGACGTTTCGGACGTTAATCCTTCGTCGGAGTAAAAGTAGAAGAAGTTGAATTGCTGTGATAACAAACCTGTAAGTGATAGATGAGAAGRAGACCAAGATGTTGTGATGTGCAAAGATCTGCTGTTGTACTATCTCTCAAGAACTCTTGTAGCGGCGGTGCTTCACTATGGTGAATATCACTCTCCTGTGGACAAACAAGCTTGTTTTTTCATTGATGCTCTCGTTACACATATATGTACAAACACGTAATATTTATAGTAGCAAAAGTTCTTGCAATGGAAACTCATTCTATAGCTTTGGCTCTTGTTTTGTCCTTCCTTAATCAACTTTTCAACTTAATTATCACTCTCCATTTCTTTCTTGACATTTCTTTAAAATTCTGTTTCCTGAGTTTTTCCTTCATTCTGCTGTTCTGTTATSTTGCGCTTACCGTTGTTTGCGTGAGAACTCTGATCAGACCACCAACAGTCTCAGGATGGGAGGACAAAAACAACAGACCTGAAAAATATTAAATCAACATTAACTGAAGCCTAGAATCTCTCTGATTCATGAGAATTTTAACCTTAAAAGATGTCATTGAAGCTCTGTTCAAAAGTTTAATATAAAATTCCATGTATAAATGTTTCATTATTTTACCTCTGTGTGACTGCAATAGAAGAAAGATCAAATCTCGTATGCCACAGTAAACMAGSGGATGACARCCAACAACTGAGGACATCAACACAACAATYGATTCYAACAAACGCCTGCAACAGATAMMAAAATGCTTTTTGTTACTCTAATTATGGAACAAGAAATGGTGTCATACAACAAGTGGGTAAAAGYATTCTTCAAACAAGAAAATAGTCTGTTGGAAGACGTTGTATTCACYCATYTTSCTCACCTGACAGCAAAAAGYCKRAAGAGAACAGGATAAGGATCCTTGACTGAAAATCCAATTGCTGTTATCTTAGCTGTAGTKGGRAATGACTTGATTGGTGGCTGRGCCTGTMAATTGAACAAGAAAAAMTWYGMCTAGATAAGAGTTCAAGGCTTTAGTATTTTGTAAAATKCTGTACATGTAGCTGAAGAGTGCTGTAAAATGTTGTAGAGTAGAGCAAAGTAGAGAAGAAATAGAGAAAGAAACGATTTCAGTTAGTAGAATACAGCAAAGCTTGGAGAGTTTGCAAAGAAACAAATAGAAAACAAAAWAGCAGGAATGGAAGTAGCTAAGAGAAGTAAAAGTGAATGAATAAAAAACGAAGGCAATAGCAAATTTCCCACTAAATTGACAGAAACATACAATAAGTTCAACTGCATTATCCAAAACAGCATAAATCTCATCCAAAGCAAGAGCAATGATTTCTGTATCGTCAGCATTTGATCCTCCATCCTTCAAAGGTTTTGACATTGATTGTATGTCCATAGAGAACACATCATGTGGAGGGGTCCTGGGTTCCTTGCTCTCTGAACCAGGCTCTTGCTCTGACTCCCCTTCAAAGTCTTGTGCTGCKGCAGCTGTCTCTGCTGTTGTTTTCATGACCCTGTGTGAATGGAAAAGATGAAAATGAGATGAAACGGAATACAAAACAGGAAAAAGGTATTAGCTTCATTGATTACTGACTGACTGAAATATCAATGTGACCATGGTATGAGTTCATTTTGCAAAAAATGTAAATGTTCAGTCTCAACATAGCTGTCCATAACAAAAACGTTTTTCTTCAATTCCTGGAGAATTTAGAGTCCAAAGGGTAAAAGTGTGAACACTGTTGATGAATTTGTATACTTTTGTTTTGCTTATTAACCAATCACCATTGCAGGATTGTGTTATCTTGACTGGGATCAAGATGCTAATTGCATAGATGCCGAGCACAAGTATGTGAATATGAATATATTATCAGTGTCCACACTCCTGCACATCGTGCTCCGACATTATTTAGCATTTAGCATTTAGCTAGCAGTTTTTGTCTACCTTTCTACTGCATTTTGAAATGAAGCCAAGAGTTCATAGAAGTGAACTTTCCTTCCAAGAGCAGATGCTGCATCAACCACACGGACAGTCTTAAAACAGAAACATAAATGAAGGTTAAGATTTACTTCACAAAAGAACAATGACAAGAATGCAAGCTTATTTTTTATTCTCTTCTCAATTTGGTCTGCTGAAAAACATAACAATGAACGTTTTTTATGAATGCACCCCTAGGAGATAATTCTCTGTAAAGGGGAATACGGTGATGATGAACTCAAAGTACAAAACTAAACTACAATCTTAGGATCATGTCCCATAAAGGGTAGACAGATACTTTTTCATTACAGTACACTGTTACATCTCTTTACCTGGTCAGTCAGTAAAAACTCCATGAGTTTTTGATAACCACTTTGTGTTTCTTCATCATTGCTGTCTGTCATGTCGACATCGTCAACATCATCATCCTTGGATACGGTATCCCAGCCAAGAAAATGTTCCAAGCCAATATGGCTGTCTGTGCTGCTATCAAGAGCTACAGTGAAAAGTTTGATCAAACTTAATGTTAAAGAAATAAGGAATCTCCAGTGTAATCTCCATGCATGCAAGAAGGAACACAACTGATGAAGACTTTGACAACTTTGAGTCCAGAAAATTYAAGTTTAATTACCTTGCAATGCATGCAGCTTCATGGAGGAAGACATATGTTCACAAGTTAAATGCTCATGAAGTTTTTCTTGGACACCAGCATTCTAAGCAAAGAAATRTGGTAATAATTTTACTGTGAAGCATTCAAGAACAGGCCGAGAACAATGGCAAAGATATAGAACTATAATCATACCACGTTTTTCTTGTTTTGTCATTTCTTTAAGTTAAGAGAAGAATCACGTTGTCTTTTTAATACATTATTWTAACAGAGACAAAAATCACTTGATACAGTTAGCTGTAATTCTCTTACAATCAGAAGAGCTGCAATGGTTGGTCCACAGTTACACAATGAATGTACCATCCTCAAAGCAACCTTCAACATTCTCACATTGACCTGGAATAACAACAAAACATCACAAAACTTTGAGTCTCAAGTGAAAAAAAAGTGAAAAAAACCTACACCAAGAACTACAACTTACTGCAATAGGGAGTCTCATGGCCTCATCCATATTCAAAGCAAACATGGTCCATTCAATTAAACTGGTCAAAGTAACTAAAAACAAACACAACAGTTCACATCACAAACTCAAAGACCATTACAATATTGCCATCAAAGTTTGGTAACTCAAAGGCAAAACTTGATTGTTTAGTATTAGAAAAAACTAACTGAAAGTAGGTTTTAACATCATTTTAACAATAAACCATTGAAAGTGAACCTACCATCGCTGTCCTCTTTTGTTCTCATCACATACGCCTGAAACAACAACAAACACAAAAAYGTTTTGAGACTGGAAATTGTTCATTGATAAATATAGGCTTAGGTTATTGAAAGATCCAATATATTTCATAGTTTTAGTTTATGAACAGAGACATTCACTAAAAAACATATCTATGCTTTTGCACTAGTGAAAAACGTTTATAACATACCAGACCAGGTGTAACTAAAGGAGGRATTTCTTCAAGAACTTCAACCCATCTAAAAACAACAAGAAGTCAACTTAATAATAAGAATGTTATCTGCTTAGTAAGTGTACAATGGTCATGTACACTGCATATTTCAGTACAAAACACTGTGTATTGTTAGCCAAAGGGGAAGAAGAAAACAGTGACATTTTGGCTTAATATTAGTTCAGAATTGAACTTTTAATATCCAGTGTAAAAGTAGCTCACTTTGTGTTTCTTGGATAGACTTTGCACAATTCAACAAGTTCTACCAGCTTTTCACCCTAAAAATTATCCAAAAAGAGAAACCTTAATTTCTTTAATAAATCATAGACAGGATTTTACAGGAGCCTGTAGGATCTTGAATAGGGTCTTACACAGGATCCTACAGGATCACCTCTGAAACACTTTTCTTTTTGCAAAACTGTTCCTACAGAACCTTACAGGATCCTGCATAAGACTCTATTCAAGGTCCTGTCAGGATCCTGCATAAGACTCTATTCAAGGTCCTGTCAGGATCCTGCATAAGACTCTATTCAAGGTCCTGTCAGGATCCTGCATAAGACTCTATTCAAGGTCCTGTCAGGATCCTGTGTAAGATTTGCACCAGGGTATGCACAAAGCCTTTTTTTCTACAACATTTTTCCAAAAACCATTGTACTCACAGTATCTTTGGCAGTTTCGGTAGTTGCTGTCAAATAAAAAAAACATTATCATTAACATCATCAGAGTTCTTGTTTAGAATACAAGAATGTATTAATAATACATAGCTGTCATTAACAATATATAATCATCATTATTTATTACGAGACTTTTCACAACCACTTCTAACACCGCATGGCTATTTTTATATCATTTTTCTGTCTTAATTATCATTATCAACAACATTCTTACCTGCATCTTTGAATTTATGAAGAGCAKCYTCATGTTCCGTTTGGTCAGGTGCAGGGAATGACTGAAAATGGACCATAAGCATACGAAATTAAAGGTGAGCAAGCTAAACCCATTATGCTTAATGTTTTTCCATACGTACTATCTAGCTTTTCAGAAACYTTTTATGAGRTAAAGTTCACGCACTAGTATGCAAKATTTCATATGAGATATTTTGCAAAAACTWCAGCAACAAGATGCCATGGCCATCTAGGTGTACTGTAGTTGAAATATTTGACTCACTACATTCAAGGTTTCCTTGGGCAGGTGAGATTACCTTGCTTACTTATATTTAAGAAATATAAAAYGGCACACATGTCTCTGTCCTCTGATATAAACACGGTGGGAGTTCGAAAAACACGAGAGAAAGCAAGCTTAGGAACACGAGCGTAGCGAGTGTTTCTCTTGCTTYTTGAGTGTTTTTCAACTCCCACCGTGTTTATATCAGAGGACAGAGACACAAGCGGCCGTTTTATATTTMTTTTATAACATTTTTCGAGTGAAAAGAAAATTTTGCCGGYAAGCCGTGTCTCTGTMCTCTGATATAAACACGGWYGTCAGCCAATCAGAGCGCGCGTTATATATCRAAAATTTTATAAATAATGCATATAACATGTATAATAGACCTGACTTACCGTAAGAGGTGATAAGTCACACTGGTAAGGGTTGAAGCTTACAGACACTGACATCCAGGCATCCTCACTGTACAGATCAAGGTCTCCAAATTGTACTCCCTAAAAAAATCAACAGGAAAGGTAATATGTAAATGTAAAAAGTTAATATGCTGCTAAATTAATAGYTACTTTAATTAAGGTATCTTTATAATATGGATAAATCAATATTATTTATTGGGAGTTGGGAATGATTAAAAGGAAACAAAGGAAGAGTCAAATATCAAACTGAATATGACATAATTTTTTATGAAAACTCAACAAAAAAGAATAGACAAAATATGGGAAGAASAAATACTATGACTGAATGAACTAATGGATGAAAGAATGGATGGGTAAATAAATGAAATAAAGAAATAATGACAAATGCATTAAAAAAGGACTAAAGAAAAAAAAAACGGAAATAAAAAATGAAATAATGTCTACTTTAAAGGGTAGCTTACTGTTTCATCAAGTGYGCCATCATCTAAATTCATATCCTGAAAGGAGAAAAGAAATGTAGGCAACTGCAACTGGAATACTTTGACAAGCTTATCAACAGCATAAATAGTTAAATAGAAAAATCAATTTGATTTGCCAACTAAAATACACTTGTACTGTACCTCTTCATCACTCAAAATTTCTTCATAGGCATCCTGGAGATTAAATAATAATAATAATAAATCAGACATTTCAAATACTTGAAAAAAAATTCATCTAAAACCACAAGAAAAAGTAAATGATTATTATAATTATCAAATTACACAATAAAATAATTCATCAGCTTCAAATGTTCAAAAATTACGGATGTTTATCAACTTGCCTGCTCTTCGTCATCAGCCCCTTCATCAGACAAAAACATATTAGGGGAGTGGTCTGGGGTTAGTGGTTCAAATAGGTCATCTGACTGGGACCCTGACYGAGAGCCTGAATCCTCTGCTTCCTCCCTAGGGGACCCCGGTGGGGTGGTTGGCTTGGCGGCAGTACTCTCCCCAACAGTTGCAACAACTTTTTCGGGCGAATCTTTGGAGGATCTRCGTCTTGGTGGAGATTTAGCTGGGGTCCTGTCTTTGCTTCTTGATCTTCTCTCTTCTTCTTCGTTGGTTCTTCTYCCTCTTCCKTCTGTGTCACTCTGCCTTGATCGCAGTTCATCTCTTGGTCTTCCYCTCCCTCTTCTGCCTTCTTCAGGGAAGGTTTCTGAGCTTTTGAYTCGYCCGTCATCATCAAAACCTCTTGACCTTGGATCAACTTCTTGTTTTCTACTTGGTCGAATAGTTTCTTCAGACTCCCGTGAATCCCCACGTGAACGGCGCTCCTCATCTCTTCTCCCTTCATGTTCATCTCTATCAGAGCTCTTAGACCCCCTGTCAGAGCCCCTTTCATATGCGCCTCTTTCAAAAGACCTTTCACGTCGTTCAGCCCTCTCAGGGATCTTTTCTGGAGGTCCTCTCTCATGAACTCTGTCATAGGTTCTTTGATAGCCTCGTTCTATCTTCTCTGGCATTCTGTCTTGAGGCTGCTGGTCTTGGGGTCTGGGTTCCATGATGACTGATGGTCTCTCRGAATGTTTGTCTGTCCGTGTTTCCTGGACCATAGGTCGTGAGATTTCAGTGAAATACCCATATAAGGATATGGTGATGCGAGTGTACCATCCACGGAGGACTACCACATCTGTAGCTGCCTGTAGGGAGGGAAAATAGAAGAAATAATAAACATAGGATGCAAAGAATTCATTGATATTTTGACATACCGACTTTATGGTAACAACAACATTTATAAATAAGAAAGCAAGACTAATACCTTGACAGATGCTGTAATCTGGAAATGGTTGGGTTCTTTATAATCAAGACTGAAAATAACCAAACAATCTGTAAGTGGGCAGTTCCATGTGAGAACAAGCAAAAAGTGAAAAAAATAAAATTGACTTTGGCAAATATCTATAGTGGCCAATTTGTAGTGGTATACCTAAACCTTTGAAAAAATAATGTACAAATCGGATTGTGCTCCTCGTGTACTTACAGGTTTTTTTTTAAATTACCCCCAAAATGACATGTAAGTCAACAAAATTGTTTTAATTGTTCAATAAGCTTAAAAAGTTTAATCAATACAAAAATTTCTCATCATATTAAAGTCAATGGTGTGTACTTTACAAATAAATAACCTTTTTATCCAAAAAATGCAATATTGCATTAATTATGATGTCATAAGTTTTGTTGTGGACGTTACATGACATTTATTGTAAAATATGCTATTTTTTACTCTCCTGTTAAATGCAGAGCAAATATTTCAAAATCCTTTAATTTCCTTTTTGTGCTATCAAAGACAAGTATAGACTTGTCATGAAATAATAGATTCTCTTCTTAGTTTAAAAGAAAATTYAATTTGAATTATGTAACGTCCATGACAAATTGGTCATGACGTTACATCATGGACGTTACATCAAGATAATTTAGGAGTTTGACATCAAAATTTCTTCCTATAGCTTTTCCAAGGGCTTGARCTGACTTRATGTATGCATTTGAAGGCTTGTCATGGATGTTTTTTGGCTTTTACTCGCTGTTTCTTTTCCAATCATTACACAGGAAACCCACAAATCACATTTTATCAGAAAAGTCBAATTAAATAAGAACTAAAGAAACTTTAAATGAATAAATGTCTAAAAGTGTATMATTTATTCATTAAGTCAAGTTTTTAATATTTTCCATTAAAGTAAACCAACATAAAATGCTAAAAATATAGATTTTTTTGAAGACATAACATCCATGACAAATTTGTGTAACGTCCATGACTCTAGTTTTTGCTCAATTAGCTTTCATGTGAAAGATGAACAAGGATGAAAACYTCACWAATAGTARCAACCACTCTCTCACTTTATGTATTTGCACTAATGAATTTATATAACTCAGTCAGTTCACAGGAATTTTATGTTGAAGCCTAAGAGTTTAAAAACTGTGTCCGTTTTTCGTAACGTCCATGACTGAGCATTAAATTATTAATAACTCTCAACAGAAACAAGCACAATTTCTAATATTACACATGAACATAAAGCAAACCCATTTACACTATTGGGATGTAGAAAAAGAGTTTTTTGGAAAGACTGTATTTTTTTATCAGCATTTATTTCTCTAAAATTCTCTCTAAATGTAACGTTCATGACCACGGAACTGCTCAAGTATGCTTTCATTTACCATCAAATTCTTGTGATTGAATGGTATTGTGGTATGGAGTGCTGTGGTGTGCTACAGTGTGCTGTGGTCTTTTGTGCTGTGCTTTGATGGTGTTGTGTTGACTTGTTTTGTGTTGTATAGTACATGCATTAGAATTACTGTATACAGTTGATATTTGTTTGACTTACACTCCTAGTCTCTCAAAGACTACAGCTCCAGGATTATCCAAATTCCTGATAAACATATCAAGTTTGAAAGATGAAGGATGCGTCTCCCTGAATTCAAGAACAATGCACAAATTAGGCACTGGAACATAACATTCTATAATAGCATGCTATTCTYTTTGAATTATCACACAGCAAAAGATTGAAAGATGACAAAAMATTTATTTCTTGTTTCCTTGAGACTAAGGCTTGCAGCTTTTCAAAATGCTTTCAYTTGAAAATKKAGAACTATGATARTTTAATTGAGGTGCTATGAATTCAGCAGGTTACATTTTGAAGTAGTCTCCTCACAGCCRTTCTTARTKGTGRKCTCCCTRATTTTGAAGGGCTTTATAAGTGGTTCGATGCAATACCTCCTTTACCCATTTAYWCTRACATAAACCAGGTGTTATAAGCTCACCCTATCTTCTCTCTGTCACTTATAGCAGCATGAACCCTATGTCCAGCAGGGATGACTCGGACCTCCTGGATGGCAACAGGCCTTGGAAAACTTACCAAATCAAGGTGCATCTCCTAATGAGAAAATCAGACATTTTTTTAGATGCTCAAGCGCATAGCATCCTTTACACATATACGCATGTGCATACTAGTGGCAAGAAAATATTAWAATTTTTTGGGATTTTGTATATATAATCATCTTTGCTTGCTCTGTCGCACCAAGGCTTCGTTATCAAAAAGAACCTCAAAACAGTGGATATCTCATTTCCAAGAGTTATTATTTCAAAATTTCCTAGGGAGGACCCCCAGATCCCCCTTAATACTCCCGCCTTCAGCGGTCGTTAACCCCCAATCCATAATATGTGTTGCGGTCCCTGACATGTGCGTACTAGGCAAAAAGTCCATGCTACGCGCCTGATGCTTTCATCTTTTTAATGAAATAGTTGTGATATTTGAATAAAACTATAAACAACACAAGTACAACTTTTGAATGGTATAAAATAGAAAGGGCCAATTTGTGAATATCAATGCCAAAGTCTTGTTTATTTTGTTGGTCTGACAAYAACCAGAGATGAACATAATGGTCTTGCAGGACCAAAGAGGTCACCAAACTAAATCCTTGTTTTTATTTCTCTGTGTTTCGTATTAATAACCCTTGATATTTAATCTAATATACCTTATAAATCAAAGCTTTGACAAGGCAATCACGGACAGGCATTGTAATGCCCAGCTGAATTTTGACAATATTTGCCAATTGTATATTCAATCGATTGGCCCAAAAATCAAAGTTCACATCTTTTGCCGATCAAAGTTAAGAAATTCTTCAAATTCGGCAACAAATCCACGAAGAAATCACAAAGTATAAAGGAAAAAACCTCGTGTTTGCAGCTTTCGGTACAAGAGCATTTGATCGAATTCCACTGCATAGATTATTAGGCAAAATAAACACAAAATAGCCACTAATTGAAAACCATCATTTAGAGCATAAACAAAACAATTGATTTTTCCTCTTACCTCATTTTCTTGATGGCTGAAAGTGTCACAAAAYAGAAGAAGAGGAGGCTCAACAGTAAGCGGCGATTTGGCCGCCATCTTGTTTGAATGATAAAGACACAGGGAACCCACCGAAAAAAAATCTAACACAGGTATCCCAATGTGTTTCTTACACATTGGGGATAAAAAATCAACACTTGAGACTAACCATAATTACTTTTCATATTTTATTCTTCTAGGAAGAAAACATTTAAAAAACATCTGCCTATTGTAGTAATTTGTTATTACTATGTTGTGATGTTGTGCAATAGAGTGCTTGCACTTAAAGCGTGAAACAAATAGTACTAATTACTACTAAATAGTGTTGATTATACAATAGGAAACAAAGGAATTTGTATAATTTATCATTTTTATATATTATTTTTATTTTGTAGTATTTATATTTCACGCATTTAGTGCAAGCACTCTAATTTAGTAAATGGTATTCATAAAGAACAATGGTCTGTTCAAAGACATTTTTCTAGTGGTCCGCTTTAAGTCTTTTTCTCAGGCCCTTATCSCTTTGATATGATCCCAAGCGAAGGTATAAGYGCCTGAGAACAAGKTTGCTTCTGTTTTGTAAATTTCATAAAAGAAATTCAACACCAAAATATTTTTATTATTCTTCATAGCTTAGATTTTGGATTATTATTTCTCAGATTTTCTCTAAAAAACGTCTTGATTTTAGTCCAAGAATCTTCCTGTGCAGAGACATTAGCCATAAATTCACCTCCCCAGTTAATGGTTATCCCCAGTGATTTTTGGAAACTTATTTGGGTAGGAGGAATATACGGATGATTTATAAAATGTCCAGCACCATGGTAACCAACAACAGTACAGCTAGCCGCCTTGTCAAACGCTTCCAACCTTTTGYGGATTTTGGCTGYACTTATGTCTGCACAACAACTCTGGTCATCTGTACCAAAAATAAGCAGAAATGGACCGTTGGCATTTTCGACAGGAATAACTTGTGGGTCATCTTTGGTGTYRCCTGACCAAGGATTGTCATTGTTGTAGCATTCACGTAAAYTAATGCTTCCATCTTCATTCTGTTTCAGCTTTGTGTAGTCTATAGGATAAYWWTCTAGTTGCTGCCCTTTGTATTTCATTCCCTCAACAAGTTTATGCTGCCCTGATATCCAAACYAAYGGTTTAATGTCTTTACAGTGGGATGCAAGAAACAAGGCCCTGGTTGCACCAGATGATATTCCAAGCAATCCAACCSCACCAGGAGAAACATAAGGGTTGTTTTTGAACCATTSTACAGCTTCAAGGAAATACTCAAATTCAAGATCTTTAAGATCTTTTGGGAGGTCRTCATAACCCCAGTAGCCTAAACAAAATGCTGCAWARCCAWTTGATGCTAGTAATGAGGTCCTCTCTTCAGACAAAAAGCCAAAGGGATTATGRACAACAATCACCCCTGAAGAAAAAACACATGGTAACCCATTAATACCATTTGATCCAATCTAGAAACCTAATCTCTGATGMAAATATCATGGTAAAACAATATGCAGTTTTAAATGTTTAAAAAAGATTATCTGTTCTTGTTGTATATAGCTATTTCAAAAAAGGTTTTCTGATAAAATGGCAAATGTCAATGGTCGAACGGCGATTGCACGACCGAAAGTAGCCATGGGTTTTGCTAGTTGAAAGGCAATAACAACTGATTTCAACTGTAAGATGGTCTGTGGTAGACATTGAATCCATTTAGACTCCATTTCTATGAAAGGTGAATCCAGTAAGTGAAATTTTGATTATCAAAACAGTGTAAAAATCGACCCTTTTGGCCATGCAATCTCCCTTCAACAATCGCCGTTCTCCCCGACAACGTTTTTTGAAATAGCTGTATACATATTTGCACTAAGAGAAAAGAACAACTAACAAATAAAAGCTTACCTTGAAATGGACCATCACCAGGGGGAAGGAACAGTGTCCCCCTTAACCGTCCTTCACGGACATCAATCCTCCTTACACCAGCTGACATGTAATGCCTCTCGATCGTTAAACTCGACAATGGAAAACAATTTTCCGTTTCCAGAATTTCGACATGTCCTTCCAGCACCGAKAGGTTTACTAAATAAGRCTTTGTCACGTCTCTTTTAACCAGTCGTCGACCAGGTTTCTGATTTGGCTCAGGTTGGAGACTCCACATAAATCCCATCGGCTCAACGCCAACATACGACCCTCCAACAGAAGGCTGAGAATTCAAACAAACTCGGCCTTGTTGGTCTGCTATGTAGTGAGCCAGTGAATGAWATCTGTCATTTGAATCTCCCACTAGTTTAGCTTGAAGAGATACCTTYTGGTTTGGTTCAAGACCTTCAACGTTGATCGTGACCTTCTCGTCCATCTTGGCTGACAAAGGAGAACAAGCGAGCAGCACATTTTTAGCTTTCCYTTCACAAGAAGAAGTGAAGAATCTRCGTGGCCTAACTCTAGGGCGTAATACATTTGCAGTAAAATGATTTTTTATGAAAACTTGCAGACTTCCAAAACTTTTCATCCTTGGGCCTCGTAACCCTCGTTCCCAGGGGCTCGCTTTCATTGGACTTGAAAATGCACAGGGACCCCAATAAATGTAATCACACCAAAGGCAACATATTAAAGCTCCTTTTTCAACAAAAAATATAAATCTACGTCTCAGTTGTTTTGTTTTTGTTTCTTTGTTGTTTGTGGTCGTGCTGGGGGATTATCTATGGTTCAGAAATTAGAAAATAACTTATTCACTGTAGGGAGCACAGCCCTTCCCCCAAACAAAGTTCCCCCAATCCCTCGACTTGAAAAATGCTGCACCGCCCCAACTCATGCCGATCGGAATTCTATATGGTAGGAGAAGGGGGAGTGGCTGTTTTATAGATTTTTGTACTTGATTTAGTAAACACATTTGATTGATGACAAATTATAAAAATAGTAAATTTTGACACAATTTAATAATTTACGTTGAATTGCAACGAACTTGACAGTTCATAATTAATTGAAATAATACTGAATAATAGTAAATAGAATCACCAGCCAGCGATTTTGGTTGATGGTAGTCTAACAATTAACATCATGACGTTTGTCTTGGGCCAGTCGAGAACCAATTTAGCTCGACCCCAAACGGTAATCAATGGAAACGCTTTTTCATGGTTGAGGTAAATGTTGACGGAAGAATTCTAGTATTCTAGACCAGGCTTGCTCTTGCGCATCTGCATGTTCTTTTGGTTTCCCTCCCCAAGCGAGATACATGTCGACTGACTTTTGATAACCCATAAAYGCAAGAGGGCTGTAAGGGGGCTCGATCAGATGTCCAGCACCATGGAAACCAAGACGAGTACACTGTGACTCTTTACCAAATGTTTTCAATCTTTCGTAGATCATTGCTGCTGATGAGTCTCCTTTTATCATAAGATCACCAGTACCATAGACGAGAAGAAATGATGCTGCAGAATGTTCTACAGGAGCTGCTTCGGTGTTGTCCAGAATYTTTACACTCCCATTATCACTAGGCCAACATTCCTTAATCTGACATATATGGCCTTCCAGAAGGACGCACTTGGAGAGGTCYATCTTGATAAATGGCGTCGGTTCCCCTCTAAGGAGTATTGGCCAGTTGCTTAGACCATACGATGAACTAATTGCCACCACTGCAGCGACATCAGTACAGTACGAAGCCATATATAGACCGAKTTCAGCTCCTCTTGAAATCCCCATCACTCCAACACCTCCAGCGATGATTGACGGGTTCTTTGTGAGCCAATCAACAGCTTCTATGAAGTATTCAAGCTCACTATCTTCTRGTTTTGTTGGGAGGTTGTCATGATTGAAATAAGCCAAGGACAGGGCTGCAAAACCATTGGAAGCCAGTAAAGCAGCTTTGGATTCAAATAATCCACCAYTGGAGCCAAGAAGATCGATCACCCCTGAAGAGAGAAAGTACCAGTCGATTGGATTTTTTGTTCAAATAGACAGTACTAGTTGCATGCCAATTAAATGACCGCCTTGATCATTAGCATAATCAATTTTCTTTTCAACCCAATTTTAATTACAACTTTTAGTTAAAGTTTCAAAAAWTAAACCATGAAATAAAATTAGTTGGACGCCCTCTCTGAAGGTTCCATTCCATTGGAAAATCCTTTGACATGTTTTTTTTTTAATTAACAGAAAATTTTTACTTAGGGTTTGAATTACGACATATATTTCGATGTACATGAATCTATTTAGGAAAATTCATATCTCTGCTGATTTTTAGACAGCAAACTGTGCCCTACCTTGAAATGGACCCTCACCAGGGGGTAGGAAAAGCGTCCCCCTTATCMTTCCTTCATGGACATCAATCCTCCTTACACCARSTGMCATGTAATGCCTCTCAATCGTTAAACTCGACAATGGATGACAGTTTTCTGTTTCCAGAATATCGACATGTCYGTYCAGTAACGCTAGGTTTACTAAATAAGGCTTTGTCACGTCTCTTTTCAACAGTCGTCGACCAGGTCTTTGATTTGGCTCGGGTTGGAGACTCCACATAAATCCCATCGGCTCAACGCCAACATACGACCCTCCAACAGAAGGCTGAGAATTCAAACAAACTCGGCCTTGCTGGTCTGCTATGTAGTGAGCCAGTGAATGATATCTGTCATTTGAATCTCCCACTAGTTTAGCTTGAAGAGATACCTTTTGGTTTGGTTGAAGACCTTCAACGTCGACCTTGACCTTCTCGTCCATCTTGGCTAACAAAGGAGAACATGTTAGCTGCACATTTTTAGCTTTCCTTTCACAAGAAGAAGTGAAGAATCTGCATGTTGTTAGTGCAGGAAAAGAGTTTTTAGAAAAAAGAAATCTCTTCAAAAAAACGTGCATTCCACTCATTAGTTACTGAGCTTTGAGTAGGGCGATGCATACCGTCATCCAAACGACGATTTTCTCAAGAAAGCATTTCTTACCTCGTGTGAGGCCGGATCGTCTCTAGGTCAGTAATTGACTAGTGAAGAATGATCATTATAGAATGAATTTTAAGATGTAACCGTTTTTGTGGCTATGCGTTGATAGGTATAGAGGTGCGAGGTGCACAGTTTCGCTCTAAAAAGTGCATGAACTCTTCCAAGATTTTTTGATGTAAATTTTTTGATTGTACATTTAATGCTATATCTCCGCCCGTCCATGTATATCCGTGTAACTAAATTATGCGTTTTGATCAAAATATCAATTAGTTCCCCCCGCGGGGTGTTTTGTGACTAGAGGAAAAAACCTGGCAGTTCTCGATCATCGGGATTGAAAACCAGAAATGTTTTGCAAACCGGGTGCGCTTTGTGGTCATGGGATATAAATTGAATGATAATGCCGCATTTTGAGAAGAAGTTTCCACGAGATTCATAAGTTTTAATCAATTTCTAGTTCCCACCATTCAGTTTGTAATGCTTTTTTTCGCTAATAAAAATGATGAATTCATTTGGMTCGCTCGCGGGTCCACTGGAGTTTTGAGCATTTTATGACGTCAAGAGTGTGTCAATAAGAGGACATACAACTCAAAACCGCGAGCAATTTGTTAAATTCTTGATAGTACACCACAATAAGCAAAAGAGCAAAAATAACTGACTCTTTGAATGGATAACATAGAATAGAATAGAATTTTAATAATTATATCCTACAAGAGGTTGTTACATAATTATTTACAGTAAAAAGGACAGGCGCGTAGCGTCCTTTACGCATATACGCACGTGCGTACTAGTGGCAAGGAAACAAAATGTTTACAAAAAATACTGAAAAATTGATTAAAATTGATTCCTTTTATATGCCCTTGATGTCTGTCAAAACGCTGGAAATCGCATTTACAAGAGTTATTATTTCAAAATTTCCTTGGGGAGGTCCAGACTCTCTTAATACTCCCGCCTTTGGCTGTCGTTAGACTCCCATATCCAAAATGACATGTGCGTACTAGGCAAAACGTCCACGCTACGCGCCTAAAGGATAATATAATCTAAGCTAATTTACAAAATTCAAATTTGGCAACTAGACTAACTATTGTTCTGCTTTAAAAGTGTGTTAGTTTTTAAAGTCCACTTAAAAACTTCTAACGATGAACTTTGTTTCAAAGTTTCGTCYAGACTGTTCTATATTTTGACGGCTCGGTAGTGAAAGGTACGTTGGCCTGAAACACCGACGCGAGATATAAATCTATGTATTCATAAATGCCAATTGGATGAAAAGACAAATATTAATTATTAATATTAATTATGTCTAATAATTACATCTAGGTAAATGTTCATAGAAAAATCTCAGTATTCTAGACCACGCATGCTCTTGTGCAACTGCATGTTCCTTTKGTTGTCCACCCCAGGCAAGGCAAATATCAATTACCTCAACATAACTCATGAAGGAAACAGGGCTGTAAGGGGGCTCGATCAGATGTCCAGCACCATGGAAACCAAGACGAGTACACTGAGCCTCTTTACCAAATGCTTTCAATCTCTCATAGATCCTGGATGCACCTGACTGTCCATCTAACAAAAGATCATGGGWACCATAAACAAGAAGAAAAGATGCGYTAGAATTTTCTACAGGAGCKACTTTGGGGTTTTCTTGAATACTTCCGCTCCAATCATCAATACACATGTCTTTCCACTGATGGATATAACCATCCAAAACAGCAATTTTCGATCTGTCAGCCTTAACAAMGGGTAATGGCTTCCCTTCATAATGCATTGTTGCAATAGATAACCCAGGTGATCCATTAATTGCTACTACAGCACTGACATCTTTGGAGTRTGAAGCTATGTAAAGGCTAACTTCAGCTCCTCTTGAAATCCCAACCAMCCCAATTCCCCCAGGAATGATTGCCGGGTGGTTYTTGAGCCAACTTATTGCCTCTATAAAGTATTCCAGCTCTACAAGTGACATTCTTKTTGGAAGGTCGTCGTGATAGACATAAGCCAAGGATAATGCTGCAAAGCCATTAGAAGCTAGTAATGCAGCTTTGTATTCAAMCAACCCACCAGTATTGCCACGTAACTCTATAACTCCTGAAAACATTTCATATTTTTACAAATTTTTAATCATTTTGAATTTTTAAAATATTAACATATGAGTGTTGTCAATGCAAATAGGCCCTAAAGAACACGCMGTGAGTTGGGGATAGTTTAGGTTTAGGTTTCGCTAAGGGTTATGCTCTAAAATCCGGGTTTCAGAAGCAAACACCCTATTTAGACTATTAGGACTGTAAAGCAGTCATTGCAGACAATTTTCTTCCATTTTGTGAAAATTTCAAAAATAMCATAAAAATGGTTGTTCAAATACTATTGATCACAAATGTACAGGAGACCAGTATTAAGTTTAAATAGGGTAAAATTTCGCTCACCGTTGTTATTGGAATTTATTGGAGTATTTATTAGCTTAAAATCACAAAGGAAACTCTACGACAAACTAACCTTGAAAGGGACCGTTTCCAGGGGGTAGGAAAAGCGTCCCCCTTATCCGTCCTTCATGGACATCAATCCTCCTTACACCAGCTGACATGTAATGCCTCTCAATCGTTAAACTCGACAATGGATGACAGTTTTCTGTTT